CGGCCTGGTACAAGCCCCCCCGGCCCGGTACAAGCCCCCCCCAGTTCGGTGCGAGCCCCCCCACACGCTCGGTTGCGGTGATAGTAACGGCCCGGGAACCAAACTGACAGAGCCCGGATAGCTCAGTCGGTAGAGCATCAGACTTTTAATCTGAGGGTCCAGGGTTCAAGTCCCTGTTCGGGCGAAATCACTATTTTTTTTTCTTTACCCCCGCTCCAATCCTCTATTGCTGTTTTTGGTTGGTCGGTTGGTTTTTGTTTTTTTTTTTCTTTCCTTGCCAGGGTTGTCCGGGGGCGCAGCTGGGACCCCCCTCGGCGGGAAAAGCCGCTCCTGTCGCGGGTGCAAAAGGTTTTTGAGCGGAAAAAAACAATACTCCAGAGAAAGGGGTGAAAAAAAAAAAACGAAACCCAAAAGCTTCATCGCCCGAACAGGGACTTGAACCCTGGACCCTCAGATTAAAAGTCTGATGCTCTACCGACTGAGCTATCCGGGCTCTGATGGGGCTGCTTGCTCTGCCTGTACATCGCGCTACCCGCGGGCTGCACTGCTGCCTGCACCCCCCTGCCTGCCCCCTCACTACAGCCCACACCCCCACGGCCACCCGCCGGCCAGCTCGTTAACGCCACGGTTATCGCGCAGCGTGGAATACAAATCCACCAGCACGGGCTGATCCTGCACCTTATTCTTACTGTAGGTGCAGCGTGGGCTGTGGGGCAGGGGGTGCCCTGCAAAAGGGGGGTGCCCTGCAGAGGAGGGTCCCCCACCACGGGCCCTGGGGGTCCTCTTCCCCCCCACTTCCCCGCGTCAAAGCTCAATATGCGGCTACGAGGGCAGTGCTGGAGAAACCTGGGGTGTTTCAAAGGGGGTTAGGGAAAATGCGAAGAGAAGGACGGGGAATAATGCGTCCCAGGACAGGGGATACTGCAGTGTGTTAATTACTGGGATTTCTCCAGCCGACCCCCAGCCCCGCTTGCAGCTCATCCCCGCGCCGTGGGTGACGATTCGAATCGGAGGGCGGGTGCAGCCCATGGGGTTTTGCGGGCGGACGTGGTGCTAATTGGGGCCATTTTTCCATCAGGGCCTGGGGGAGATGGGGCCTGGGGGGTCCCCAGCCACAGCAGGGGACCCCCGAGTCCCAGCTTACCCCCACACACGGCATGGTCAATCCTGCAACCAACAACCTCCATCCTCCCATCTCCTGGGGATCTTCAGGGAAGCAGGGAGGCTGTCACCACTAAACCCAAACCACAGGCTGTGACCCGCAGCCCTCCCAGTGCTGCTCGCGGCTCTCCGGCGCGGCGCTGGGGTTTCGGAGGTGAATATTACCCCTGTCTGCGAGAGCCTGGCAGGGCCAGCTGCCTGCAAAAACAAATTACAGCTACCGCTGCGATGGCTCCAGCACGTCTGTTGCCCACAACGTGCTTGTGCGGCCGCTTCTGCCCTTGCTCTCCCCCAAGCCCAGGGGCTGGCTGCTGCGGGTGGGAGCGTGTCCCCACCAACCTGGGCGGACGGGGACGGGGGGCTCCGGGGACCAGCACGAGCACCCAGCCCCAGTAGGGTGCTGTGGGGTGTCTCAGCACCCTCCTGCAGCTCCTCAGAGGGGTACACAGGAGCACCAGCAGCCCTGGAGGTAGTAGCCCAGTGGGAAGCAGCAGGAGGTGGGTGCTGATGGGGACCCCAGAGATACCCCCGAGGATGGGGCAGCAGCGTTTTGGGGAGATGGAGGGCGGCCGGCGCTGCGGCCAGGACGATTAGCAGGAGCGGTTTATCGCCCGCCCCCGCCGGCTGCGGAGCGGGGGGCGATGCGGGGAGGAGATGAGCATCCCGGGGGAGAGCTGGGAGAGTCCCGGTGACACGTAAGGGGGAAAGCCGAGGAACACCGGGAGCTCGACGGGGACC